GTATTGCGGGGGCCACATGACCTTCCTAACCTATCATGTAGGGATGCTGACACGTTGTCCCTAGGGTCATTGTTGATGAGGATTTGCAAGGGTATGTGGCTGGTATTACGGAGTACATGGGGCCAGAAAGATATTCTGTGTCGTGTACTTGGTGCCTCAGCCCAAGTATAGCTCCCATCAGCTGTAGCAAGACTTTGCGCTCAGACGATCAGGGACCACGGCGCCAGCCTGTGCTCGAGATCTGTACCACCAAATGCAGAACTGTACACCGTACTCCATACATGTACAACATCCGCTAGTGTTCTCCGCGTACGGGAGTCCGGAGTGCAGCGACCCAGCAAGCCCCCCCCAAGTTATGGTGATATACAGACTACTGTGATCAAATAGGACACTAGCGAGGGGGGAATGAGAATCACAAACACACAATATACTTCGATTCCCACTACGCTTATGCATGGCATGCAAGACAATTCACCGGCGCCCGCCCAAATAGCCCCACAAAGCCCCACCAGAATTGGCCAAGATAAATGTCGACCATAGCCTAGGCCTTATCGCGCGATAGTCACGAAGTCAGTGCACCGCAATCCCGGGCCCCCTTGGCCGACTACTCGACGGTTGGCGGGGGCCGAGAGTGGGGCGGGTTGGAACGTCGCGCTGCGAATAGAAGTGCACGGCCCATAGAGCCTACTGTACGGAGTACATAGTCGTACCCTAGCTTGGCTGGTCCTGCAATCCGTACATAAGGTGGCGCGTTAGTGCGGCGAACTGACAATTTGCGCTGCATGCGTGGGAGGTCGGTGCAGGGCATCATCTGGAATAAACTGTAATTACTGGGATGTTTTGGGTTTTTAGGTCCATCTCAGGGGGCGATTCACAATGGTTTCGTGCGTTATATGGATAGTACGGAGGACTGTCTTCCATTTTCTTTTTTTCTTGGTGCAAGTGTATCCCGATAAAGAGTGGGGGCAAACGTATAGTAACCATAGTTAAAGTATGTGCCACTGCCTGTACATACAGAAAGCCATCGGGCAACCCCGTCGAACGTACATTTACCAATGTCGGGCGTCAGCGATGGTGATTTTTCGCGACCGAGGACGCCTTGATGGCGCTGCTGCCCTTGTCTCTCTAGTATACAATAACCGTGTTCAACCCACTCAACTAAGGTTTCACCCCACGCCGTATAGTTTAACAAGTCTCCGAAATCACTACCCTCGGACCTTGGAGGCGGAACCAAAGTAGCTCCCCTCCGAGTCTCAGACTAAAGAGATCGTAGCTCTGGGCGCTAGTTTCCGAATTTCTTCAGCCCGCATGGGTGTTTGCTACTTAGCCTAGTAATAAGGAACCTCATAAACAAAGAAATCGTACAGGAAGCATTGGCGATCATGCTCTTCGGAGCAAATGGATCAACGGCTTCCATTTTCCGGACTAAGGTTTCCCATCCCAATGGAAAAGCTTTAGGATTGCGATGCAAGCTTGTCAGGAGGCACAATGAAGATTGCGTGATGTCGGTCTCCCAAGCCATTCCTGTACCATCTTGATTCATACATAATGTCTTCGTTATCATGCCACGCCTCGAAACCACCGTGGCGGGAGAGGCGCTTGCCGCCGCCGCGCCATCGTGCCACTCAGATCCAGTCAGAAACGATGCTCTACGCAGACCCTCGTCCGTGTTATTCTGATAAACAACTCACAACGAATCATGCCCTGGCCGTGCGGCCGTGTGGCGGTGGTGCCACGGCACACTAGACTAGGGCACACAGAGGACAAGGCTGTCAGTAACCTTTGCGCTCCCTTTTTGTTGGGGGCGCTAAGGGTAGTTGTCGATAGATGAAACTAGAAACTGATTTGCGAGGTTACGCCCAGTCTAGTAACTAGTCCAGCATTTGTCAATTAGCCCTGGCTGGGTCGGGTGGAGCATTTCAATCGTTGGGGCCTTTGATCGTTCTGTATCTGCTAGAATAGACCCAGACTGCGTTAGCTAATGTGACTCGTTGTCAATCTCCCGTCTGCGCGTGCTAATATGCATGGGTACTAGTTACATGGATATATACCCTAGTGAGGGGGAAGGTCATAGCTATCGAGCTCCTTGTCGCAGCCAAGCCATCTAGGAGCCAGTCAAGGAGCTGATCTGCTACCCGCACAGGTACGCGGGCACGGTGGATCAACATCTTCGAGTGGAGACTATGAAGGATTCTGTAGAGGGCTGCAGTTCGGGGGGCAGTGCTCCATACTCTGGATGTAGAGATAGTCTGTATACTCCATATGGGTATATGGAGTATAGTTGGAGAAGTATCCACAACAGCCACACCGGAACACTCCACATTAGGACTGCCGAGTCTCCTATCGGTCAATGTTACTAGTTGGCTACGTGCAGAAGCTATGTGGTACTGTCTAAATGTCAACGCTCTGGGCACCGCTATCAACATGGAAACTGTAGATATCAGTTCCGCCCCCCGACGGCCGAGACAAGTCGTGATGCATGCGCCCTCCGTATTTTGGGATTGCGGGGTGCAGAGGGCCCCTGCTGTCTGCCACTTCACTTTCACTTCTCACTTTTCACTTTTCACCCTTGCCCTCGCTCTCGTACTGACCTGGCTGTTTCCCGAAGTCATTCTGGGAGGGTGGAAATACCCCGCGCTTATGCTATGCGACTCAGCACGGTCCCCAACGCTCATGCATCGCCCTTACGTGGCCTAGATTGGCAGCATAGTCGAGTGAGGAGAAAGGAATACCCAGCATTGGTCTCGTCTCTCGATCCTCTTCAACGAGCTATCTCCGGCCCGCTCCTGCTCTCTTCCCCGCCCTCCAATCCTCAGCTCCTCCCTGGACGATGGAGTGTACTGCTATCAGCCACAATCGGTACAGGCGTTCAACTAATCTCCGAAGACCTGGGTGCAGCAGCACAACTCACAATTCCCATGTCTATATGGAGATAGATGATTCTAACAAACTTTTGCCCACACGGCCGACTACCATCTACTGCCTGCATCGCACCCTGGGGGCTCCGGGATAAATGACCCTTTGCATGCCCCTAACCAGCGCCTTCGGAATTGTCGGTAACACAGATAGAGCTCTTGGAAACCATCACCTGATGCATAGTCCCCAGCACAATCTACTAAGGCAAATAAAAGTTCCGGCGTTCCGGCCCTTCCAGAGCCACAATGGCCCTCGCTAACGCTATTTTTCTCCCCCCGTAAACAAAGACAAACTAGAAACTCAATTCTTCACATTCACAGTCTCCTCCTACCCTCCCCTCTTCACACCGTATTGCTCAGATCCTTCTTTTTATTGGAATGAGTTGGCGCAGTAACGCCACCACGACGCCGGAGACGACGTCCGAAAAAACTTTGCGAACACAGGGGAGGTTTGTTGAGGAGAACTCTGCGGTTGGATCCCTCCTCTCCCCCCCCCTTCTGTGGCGACCCTGAAGGTTTGAGGGTGGTTGGTACTGAGCAGGGGCCTTTTTGCTTGGGGCTAGGTAGTTGGAAAGTCACTGGGAGGTATTTGGGTTGCTTCCAATGGGAGGAAGCTGGCCCGGTGCAACATATGAGTTTGGGGACTGGTCTTGCAGCATTTCCGCCACCACTGATGTATGGTAGTTGGTTCGGGAATCATCATGATGTTTGCTTGATGATGGGTATTGTTGCTGTTGCCAATGTTTGAAATTTTGATTGTGCTCTAGATAGGTTGCCAGTTGTGCGATTCGTTGCGTAGTCGCTTTTGTGCGAAGGCCTTGAGCGACCGCATGCACTTTGCTCAATGTTTCCCGCACAGCCTTAGCGAATATCGGCGTAAATCCATGGACATGCGATACAATGGCAGTCCTATGAAGGCAGGCAACACGGTGACCTTCATTACATGAAATTAGCTTCTTCCCAGACAGCCCCAAAATCATAAGTTGTCCTGGAAGAGCTCAAGAAAGACTTTAGAGGAGACGCTAATTTGAAAAGTCATCAGGCTTTCACGCTTGAATATGCCTTGTACTGATAGGCAGCTGCGTTTCTGATTTTCGATATACATAAAGTCCAATATTTTCGAAAACCGCTTCAGCTTCTTGCCGTCGACCCAACCTTGGAGCTCGAGTTAGCTTCGAAATTCCTGTTGAGATTTGCAAGACCCCTCTTAATCAATCAGGAAATTGAACATCTCAGACCATGCGGCTTTGATACCCTTGTTGCTCTGGGATGAGTTAGTATGTTGAATGTCCGACAGTAAGGAGAAGGTGTCAGCACCTGCTAAGACCACATACAGGCCATTTCACTAAGACCTCGATATCTACTGAAATATTCTTGAGTCAAACTGAATTCAAACAAACGTTCCACAAAGGCTGTGAATAAGTAGAAGAAAGGTCCGGAGACGCTTATCATAGTATGGGGTTACGGTTGAAACCCAATATCCTACAGACAGTTGATGGGAATCAATCGAGAAAATCCTTCGCATGGAATCGGAACCCATGCTCTCACTCCATCTTTTCCAAGACTTGATCATTTATACAATCAATCGCATCAATGACCATGATGTCCCAAATACAACATGCCCCAGTTTAGGCAACAGCAGTGATTCAGGCCCTAACATAGGGCTTACTAATCAGTCAGGGAATCTCAGAATCTCTACACAATCTCACTAGATGTCTAATTGTTCACACTGCTGCGCTTGCAGTCTATCTCGGCTTGACTACGGCGTGTATATGTCAAGCTATTGATCATAGCCAGACGCAGCCCTAGTGGACCCCGGGGCCTATCTGTGCTAGATAACGACTTCTTCCGAAATATCCTATTGGACCCGACGAAGCCAAAGTGACGGTCAACATTTTAACAATCTACTTCTTCTATGCTCATGGTACTGCTGAGCTAGAGACAGAAGGTCGTCCTTGCTATTTTCGCAAGCTTATCGCTATCGATCTTGACGCTACACGTTGATCGCCCTCCCCGAGGTGCACAGAAAACTTCAGAGTTGCCAACTAAAAGCAGGCAAATTTTAAGCCTTTCATTCTGGCCAAGATGAAGGTCATCCTGGAGTCTTACAATCCTGAGTGGCCACTCAAGTTCCGACAAGTACAAGGGCAACTTTTGTCAATTCTCAAGGACGTGCCAATTATATCGATCGAACATGTCGGGAGCACCTCCATCCCCTCGATGAAAGCCAAGCCCGTCCTTGACATCGACATCATCGTTCCGGCATCCTCCCTCTCAGCCGCACGGAGTGCCCTCTCTGACGCAGGGTATACTGACTGCGGTGAAATAGATATCCCTGGCCGTGTCGCATTTAGACAGCCAGAATATGGAAATCTTGACGCAGCTCACGGCGCGGGAGTACCCGGAGAGTTACGACGCCATACCTACGTTGTGGTGGAAGGGTGCTTGGCATTGAGGAATCATCTCGATGTAAAGAGAGTGTTGTTGGAGGATCAAGCGTTGCGTGAAGAATATGCGCGCGTGAAGTGCAATTTGGTGGATAAAGATTTGGAGCACATGGGCCAGTACGTGGCTGGGAAGACAGAGGTTCTGTGCAAGATTTTACGAAAGGCTGGTTGGAGTGAGGAAGAACTAGACCCGGTGATTGAGGCAAATAGGTGAAGCTCAATCTTATACTAGTCACATCGTGGCAAGAAGAGTTGTTTGAGATATCTATATCTATATCTATATCTTTATTCAATGGCTCGCATGGTAGATTTGGCAGGAGATGAAACCCGGAATGCCTGAACAGTACCGTCTCATCACCTGAGACCTCCAGTTCCGATTGGCAATGTCTCTCAGCATCGTTTTCTCGTGTACATAGGTAGCCCTCATTGTGGGGTGGCAAGCCCGTATTTTGTTTCAAGAGTCAGTTAAACTGCGACGCCCAGTGGGACGATGAAACCCCAACCCAATCTTCGAGGGATGATGAGGAATACTGAGCTCCAAGTCGATGACTGTCTAAAAGCGCAGCACATTGGAGAATTTCGGCAGCTAGCGTCAAGAGCAGACTCACATTTACTGGATTTCAAGCGGATCCGAGTGTAGTCATAGAGTTGATGTATATATCGTAAGGGATGATGAAAGCGGGACGATAAGCTCGGGTGGAGTCAATTTCTCCCACTTGACTCTCAGCCCGCCTCCGCCTTTTTGGATTTCCTCGGTTCACCTGCTTCTCCGCTTCCACCGCCACACGTTCCTTGGAACCCAAGTTTTGGGCTTTCCCCTAACTCTTGGTTGTTTTCAACAACTTTCATTATACTCATGGCTCAAGTGCAGCCCCCGCCTGGGTTGGCTGACCTCGAGAAGGAGCTGGGATGCTCGGTATGTGCGACTGGGGACGATCATCTTCCAGAACCCTTCATTCCTGTTGTCTGCGCCCCTTACATTGAAGTCCAACTAACACCGCTTCTTGAGCATAGATATGTACAGAGCTGCTCTACCAGCCCCTCACACTCCTTGACTGTCTGCACACGTTTTGCGGTTCCTGCTTGAAGGAATGGTTTACAGCGCAAGGCTCGCGCCGTCGCTCGTCGTCGGACGCTTCTCCTCGATTTACCTGTCCATCATGTCGCGCTGAAGTACTACGTACTCGAACGAATGCCACCGTGACAACCTTACTTGACATGGTGCTGGCGGCGCAACCCGACCGTGCCAGATCCGCCGCTGAAAAGGAAGAAATCGCAGAGCGATATAATCCTGGAGACCCGGTATTCCCTGCTCTCCCTCCTCCGCTAGAGGACAATGAAAGTGAAGACGATGAAGATGATAGGAGGGTGCTGCGAGAGGTTCAGGAGCTAAGTCTCCGCGAGACCCGAGCACAGGTACGGCGGGAGGCCAGACGAGCAGGACAGTCGGAGAGGACACGCGAGAGGAGCAGCAATCCAGAGCGATCCACAGAAGATGGGCGATCCCGCAGACGGCGGGGTGAGGATTCGGAGCGACAACAGAGCTTGGCGCGTACCCATGGCGACTCAGAACGTGCGAGGCGCGTGGAGCACCAGTCAAGCTTGCGGTCACTACTCAGTTTGTCATCCGAGGCAGAGACTATGCAAGAGGAGATCTTGCGACAAATCCTTGAAGAAGGATTACTGGATGACATCGACTTTGACAATCTTAGCGCTACACAGGAGGAAGAGCTTAGTGAGCGAATTGCAGATGCCTATCGTAGGAGCCATATGCAACAGCCGCGAACTCAAGGGCAAAGACGCAGACAGTCTCCCGAAGATTCCAGTCGAACTCCACGTTCACGGTCGCAGTCAGTGCAAAGACCGATCGAGACAGCTCCAGCCGCATCAACTCGCGACAATACCGATAGGCGGCCTCCTGCAACGAGACCGCACTTATTTGATCCACCTACGTCACGCCCAACGCCAAATCATCACCGAAGAGATTCGGAACGGAGTGATGGCCGCCGGCGCACCTCCCCTGTCGGAGTGAATCAAGCTTCAACCTCAGAGGACACACTGCGACTAGCCGTCCGATCCTCTAGCGATATGACAGCCGAACGCACGCGCAGCTCTCACCATGCTCGAACAAGCACGGAATCTTCTTCGAGCCGGCCTCGACGCGCAACGGAGTCAGATCAGGGCATATCAGACGCATGGATGGGAGGAAGAGAACGAGGTTCTTCCAGAGTAGCCACCACCCAACCTATAACAGATTCCCCAACTCCAGCTTCGGCTTCCACACCACAGCTCAGTTCTCCCCACAACTCAACACCGACAGATCAATCAGCACCAGTATCTTCCCCGCCGCCTGTTCCACCCAGGTCTCACAGGCGACCAAGTTCATCGCGTTGGAGCGTGCTCCCGCATTTTACTGCCCAATATGTGGAGCCCTCCATCTCCTGCGATCGCTGTGGAACGGCGAACATTCAATATGATGTGCACAAAAAGTGCAGTAAATGCAAAGATCCAGAGTATCACCTCTGTCTGCGGTGTTATCGGACGGACGGAGACTACCCCTCTGGAGACTCTTCTCGCGCCAATGGCTTCGACGCCTCTGCGCAAGCAGTATACCAACAGATACTCGCGTCTCCCAATCATCGCCCAGCAAAGATGCGCAAAACTGGTCATATACTGCGCTCCTTCAAGTACGAGCGGCCCTCGGAGAACGCACAAGTAGTAACCAGTGGCGAAAGGAAGATCACGAATGACAATCCTGCACGTCGTCTGATATCTGGGCTTTTCTGCGATATCTGCCAGTCCCCGGCGAATGACTGTTTTTGGAAATGCAGCAAGTGTAATGAGGGTGATTGGGGCTTTTGTAACCGCTGCGTCAATCAAGGAAGATGCTGTACGCATCCATTGTTGCCTATTCGACGCATTACTGGCGGTGCAATGTTGTCGGCGACGAGTACACCTGCCGATACAAATGCCTCCCTCTCTCGGTCTGACTCGGAAAGCTTCAAAACACTCGCCTTCTCCACCAACTGCGATATCTGCACCTACCCGATCCCCGCTTCGGTTACGCGTTTCCATTGCCTGCAATGCAATGGCGGTGACTACGATGTCTGCACCAACTGCTACCTCAAGCTAGTGGCAACTTCCAAGATCAGCAAGGAGAACGGCCACAACGGTTGGAGACGCTGTCTAGCTTCTCACCGAATGATTATCGTCGGCTTCGAGGACCGGGATGATGGCCAAAGACGAGTCATTGTGCGCGATCTGGTCGGCGGCAATGCCCTTCAAGACGAGCACATCGGACAATCCCCTTCTTCTTCCTCCCCAGCCATAAGTAGCCCCGCATCGCCCGATCGAGGAAACGGCTACTGGAGCTGGAAAGAAGGATCAGAGCGCCGGAAGAAGGCTTCTCGTCTTCGTGGCTCCGTCTCGTCACCCTCCAGTAGTAACCCCGGCGTCTCATCTTCGGATCTTGGTCATAGCAACGATACGCCCACTTCCCAGCACGGCGGGTCCTTCCGTCGTTTCCCACCCGATGGAGGTGTCGGACTCGTCGTGCAGGCCAAGTGGTCCTACTTCCACGGGGAAGAGAATGAAGATGAACTGGTGTTCCCTCGGGGTGCCGAGATCAAGGAAGTTGATGATGTCAATGACGAGTGGTTCTGGGGTAGTTATGCTGGTCGGACGGGCTTGTTCCCTGGCACTCATGTCGTCGTTGTGGCGGAGATCAAATGAGCTGTTCGTGTCTGGGGATGTTATAGTACCGCCCGTTATTGCCTTCCGTATCTGGAAACAGAGAGATACTCTTTTAAACCCTAATCACCTGATGCACTAAACCTTATACGGCTAATCCTGTATCTAAGATTTGTTCCACGGCTGTATGGTAATACGCATGAAAGTATCAAAGTGTATAACCCTGTACTGGTATATGTCCAAAAATGAATCATATCCAACCCCCCACCACTTTCGAATCGTTTATCAAGCAGCTTCTGCATTACTGTGGGAGGTGGTCACAGCCGAAATCTGTGCTTGTTATGGACAACGCATCTTTTCATTATTTCGACTGGATCAAGACCTTACGGCGCATTTACAGTGAAATTACGAATGACACAGATAGAAAAATCCGATTTTTTATTTGTTAATAGCCCCGAAAATGCGGGCAAAAGCTAAAAAGAAGGATTTGTACCGCAATTGTTTTGCAGATGCGGGATTCGATTACTCGCACGTTGCTTTGGCCTATCTTCGAGTCGGACCTCATTTTGAAACCTGTCTGACTATCATGAGTACAGATTTAGCGGGAGGGAAAAGTTCTTACTGTACGTCAAAGGGATTGATCCTAGCGTGGATGCCCTGAGTACATAAGCATAGGTCACTGGGTGATTTTCGGGAATAGGTGGATGCTTTGGTTATCTTGGCAAGCGAGGAAGCGAGATAACAGAAACAACTGGAAAATCGCGGCGCCTGACGGATAATTCAGAAGTAGGATAGAATGTGGCCCCCTTTGTCGCGACTGGTGATGGCGACGAATACGAGGTCTATCCTGTCTAGTTCCTTGGCGCTTTTCCCCCTTAGGGACTCTTTACCCCTAAAAATGCTCTATATGGCGAGGCACAGGTAACTTGGCAAAGGACCAAGTGGTGCCTGTGCTTTAAATTACAACGACCCCCGAGTGTTCCTCTGCTTTCACTGTTGAGAGATTGGCTGGACAAGTAATTTGACCTGCCCACAACAACATTGATTTCATGCAGTAGAGCCCATAGAAAACCGGACACTATGCTACTCCGCCAGCCTATAGTCCTACTGTTTGCAATTTTGTCGATTCCTGCAAGGGTTCTATCCCGCAGAGGCAGCAGCGAATCTAGCGGCGACTCTGGAAGCGACAGCGGGACCAGCAGTGACGACTCCTCATCCAGCGGCGGCACTTATGTCTGCTCTGATGACCACAAACTTACAACCACCGCCCTCCAGCCGTCTTATTATAGCAATTACACACTTGTTGCTGGCAACCCTGGAGCCTACACAGAATGGAACGGACTATACTTCCAAGGAGAAGCTTCCTTTGACTACGTGATTCGCGATCTACCGACCAACAACACCTACCTTGGAACAAATTGCCCTAAGGACCGTCGCACAATTCGCATGTTAGGCATTGCATGGGTCGGGCCAAGAACGCCTACTCCATCAAACCTTCACAATCCCTTTACATTGGGCTTCCAGGCCTGGCAATCCGATAATACTATCGCCAACATTACCTATTCTTACAGCTCCTGCGATACGGATGTGAATCTCGTACAGCTCAAGACAACTGTGGACTGGAGGGAGTACGTCCACGAGACGAATAAGGATATCGAAGGAGCTATAGATGCCGTGGATCTTAATGTCACTCAGGCTGGTAATAATGATCATGAGGTCCAATTTGAAGGGCTATACGATGTGTCCAGTCTGAGGTCGACCCAGGAAATTTTTGCGAGTGATGGCACGCATAACGACCAGATCCACATCCCTGCAGAAACGTGCAGTATGATGGGGGATATATTAATCGGATGGCCATCAGGGACTATAATCAACGGGACAATGACCAACAACACGCTCACACTATCAATCTCGGGGACGACGATCGCTGGTTTCGGCGACCTATACGGATCTCATGACGAGCAGGTGAACGTAACTTTCAGCATTTCCTTTATAGGCACTTACGACTCGGCCAACTCGTCGCAGGTTCTCCAAGTCGGAGCCAGCAATCAGTCGCTAGTGAGCTTTGAGAAAGCAACTGGTGGTGCTATAGCCTGGGCACCTCCGCGAGGGCTGCTCGTATGGTCATTAGTTATAGCCATCGAAATGATATTTCTTTAGTTCTCGGCACTAGTGTGTTCGGGACTCGAGTTTTCCATATAGTCTTTATCAGAACTCCACTAATGGACTAACTTTTGTCCATTCTAGTTAGAATTGATTGATTCTTTCACCGAAAAGCCATAGATATACCTCCAGTGGAGTCCGATTTATCATAAGTTCAAAAAAGATCCATTCAAACAGAGCATGAAGAGTCAGGAAATGAACCGTACAAATGATGTTAGAAATGTGAAAATTCAATAGTCCTTGGAATTGGTTGAAGGGCAGATCATTGATAGCGCGATAACCGGAGGGAATCATATACTCGGAGTCGTATGAAGTCTCTTAGTGGCAGTTCAAGGGATCTGCTTGAGGGGTTAGATTCTGTGGAGAATCTCCACCAAGGCACGACGGGCTCCCCAGATCCGTTAGGCCCCGGGCTCAGCTGTTTGATTTGTTTGCTTAATCTGGAAAGTGCTAGTCTTTGAGTTGCCGATACGGAGTACAGCTGGGGTACAAGATCAGGTACCATTACAATGTATGAGCATAATGCGTAATTTACGCGGTTCCAAACCAGATTTCTGAGATCACGTGACTAGGATTCAAAAGACCATCTTTCTGTTTCCAGATATGGAAGGCAATAACGGGCGGCACTGTATGAGCTGCAAGTTTTGCATTTTTGATTATGGCTTTGCATGAATATTATGATGATTACGATAGGTTATGAATGCATGTAAACTTAGGCGATGGCGAAATCCATCCAATTTCTCAGTCTGTGACTATTCTAGTCTTTAATATTTTCCTTTATCGTTGATAAATGGGCAGGATATTTGTGTCATGCAAACATATTCTCATCCATAACGTCACTATATACTGGTATCAAGATCAAGAGTAAGAAAAAATTAAAGTACAAAGCCAAATCGAGAAGCACAAAGCAATGCCTTCAACAAGAAGCCTCCTTCCAGACCAAACCTCGGTTGAGAAGAGTCGCTTACTCCAACAAGGCAACCATCAACTTCTCATAATCCCTCGAGGTCTCCTCCCGCACACGAGCAATCAAATCCTTACCGAAGCGATGCCTATAAGCCCGCTTCACCGTCTCCTTGTGCTGTCTATCCCAATGAACCCGAACCACCCGCACAACCAACCTCTCATCCTTAGTCCCCATACCGGCCATACACTCCTCGAGCAAGATAGCATCCCGCATCGCCGGATCCGTGGCCGTCCGCAACATATGCAATAACGCATCTTCCATATGGCCCGAGAATTCCTTCTCAATATGCTTGTCCAGCGGTGTATGGTACCGCGCCTGGAAAACGCGATCTATCTCGCGCAACTCCGCATTCGAACTGCGCGCAAAAATCCCGCATACCTCGGCGACATTGTTGACCACGCGAGCGGCGGTGGAGTTGTGCAAGGTGCGCACTTCGGCTTCAATGGTTTGCGGGTTTATCGGGACGGAGTCTTCGTGGCGGGTCGCGTGGAGGACGTTTTTGAAGAGATCGGCCGTTTTGAAGGAGAGGTCGTCTTCGACGTCGCGGGCTAGTTTGCGGTGGTAGGTGCGTTCGTAGGCTGTCTGGATAGCGTGGAGATCGGCGTTGGACCGGCCGAGGAGAATGTCGTTTAGAAGCCATTCCTTGGTGCCAGCACCCTTGACGGCTTCCCGGGCACAGGCCACGTCGAACATGAGGGGGCCTTCGATCACGCCGAGGAGACCTTGTTCGAGGTACCCGCCCGTCTCGGACTTGACGTCCTTGTACAAGTCGCGGCCGATGTGTTTGGTGTATGTGGCACGGACACCGGCCATTTGGAGGGGATCCAGGCGGGAGAGAACCTGGATCAGGGCTTTTTCGTCCGTGCCAAAGCCCTTCATCGCTTTGCGCAGGGTATCGGCCTCAGCGCGGAAATCACCCGGCGCGACTTGGCCGGGGACATAGCCTAGCGATGGGGGAGCTGGAGCGCCCATGGGAGCTCCGTATGGGCTGGGCGCGCCGTGGATGGGGGCACCATGAGGCGGGCCTTGGGGAGGAGGGGCAAAGCCTTGCGGCGGCTGGCCGTGTTGAGGAGGGTAATGCTGGCTCGGCGGTGCTTGACCATAGTGTTGCGGTGGTGGCTGCTGCGTCTGTGGAGGATACCCGGCATGATGGGCAGGGGGTGCACCGTATGGAGCAGGTGGTTGAGGGGAAGGAGTGCCGTAGTATCCCTGTTGCTGCTGAGGAGGCTGGCCGTAGCCCTGTGGGGGAGGATAATGACCCTGCGGAGGAGGGGCACCATGAGGGGCACCCTGAGGAGCACCCTGAGGAGCACCGTATTGTTGTTGAGGGTACGGAGGCTGTTGATAGCCTTGCTGATAGCCCTGAGGAGGTGCGCCCTGAGGATAACCGTAAGGCGCTTGTTGTTCTTCAGCAAAAAAAGCACGTTAGTTTATCGGCAAAAGGATTCCCCCCGCATTCCGACGGATTAGGCCGGATCGGCCTTATGAAGGGTATGGGTTTTGACTCACGATTAGGCGGGTATTGGTAAGACATAATGTGAATCCGAAGGAGAGATGTTTACTATTGGGGGTGTCAGACGAGGGGTAACCCAGATTTAAATATTCAATAGCGACAGGGGGGGACGAGCTGAGTTCCCATGGTACTCTGTGGCGCAGTTGGTTCCAGTGGGGGGGAAGCACAGCCTTGTGAAAAGGAACACATTGACGTCTGCCAATGCTTAGCCTTGTCCTGCCGTTCCGCTAGCTCGCCGAGAAACTATGAGTAATGCTCGTATTCCTAGCCTGGCGGTCGGACTGTGGCTAGTGAACTTTACCACGCTGTATCCATGTGTACTGTAGTACAAGATGAACTACATCGAGTCGGACATTGGAGCCGCGAATCATGTAGCACCCTCGATGATTCTGATGCATACATTCCAACGAACGGTCAATCAAATACAGAATCTTGGACAAGGTCTTTTTTTTTTAGAACTCTGACGGTCAAAGTTGCTACCTACCCTACAAGGAGCCCGGAGAAAGTCATAGCATATTCATCACAATTACTATCTATCAAGTCCTGCCTATAGTATAGAAAAATGAAAAAGACAAGAAGCGAATGACATCACAAAAGTCCAGCCGATGAGATGCAAACCATCAACCAGTTATCACCACATATAGAACAACAGAAATAACGAATGCCACGCTAAAATCTTAGAAAGGCTCGAAAGCCACAGACAACGTCAAATAGTGTTCACAAGAGACCGCGAGGTCAATGCAAGTCTTGAAAAGAAAGCTTGCCTTTTTGCCAAACGCTCACAAACAGGAAAGAAAACAAGTCAAAAAGTTATTAAAACGAATGATGCAAGAGCTGTAAGGGTATTGATCGGAAGTAGAAAAGAGGGGGACAAAAGGTCATGCAAATTAAATATCCAAATCCAGATTTGAATCGTGAAACATAGTACTCATCAAGGAAAAACAATTCATATCGGTCAAGGGTATCGTTTCAATTTCGTTCACACGCTTGCCGTGCGCCTCTTCTCACTCGGTTTCTGCGCGTACGCGATGAGCATGCGGAATCCAGTTCCACGCTTCTGACACTCGCGCAGAACTTTGCGGTCATTCCACATGCTGAGGTCGTGATCGCCGTTGTCGTGGAGGGCTGGCTCTTCGTAACATTTGGTATACCACCAGCGACCAACGCGAGCCACAATCTTGGCGATGGACTCGTCGTTGGCGGCCGAGGGCGAGGGATCGGAGAGGAGGTCGCCGAGGGAGACGTTTTCGTCGGATACTGACGACTTGGATGCTGTTTGGGTGCTTTGGCTGCCCATCGCTGTGGAGACCGAGGTGGCGGGGAGGGAGAATGCCGTCGATTGAGTCGTGGCTGATGCAGAGAGAGATTTGTTGGAAGAGGATGTTGTTGAGCCGGAGGATCTGACGACCATTCCTGCGACGGGGATACGCACCATGCAACGACGGAGGTTATCAAAGCCTTGGGTGCCGATCAGACGTTGGATGCTGTCGCTGGTCGGCTTCAGACTAATACTCGAATTGGCGAGACAAGTCATCTCTTTCAATCGGCGGACTGCTTTGCGAGTACGAACGCCCATGTTCACCATATCTCGGTCCAGAAGACTCATTTCAATATAACCGCCAGAACGAAGGACACGACGGCATTCTTGAACGATGTTGTTCTGGATAGCCTCGGAATTTGCAGCAGGGAAACGCAAGACAGCAACTGCGAAATAGTCTTTGGGAAATGGCAAGGGATTCTGGAGTCCAGCATGGTATACCGTGTGGTGATTGGGTGGCGGCTGCAAGGCTGCAGGATGGGGAATCGCAGTCGAGACTGGTCGACCGCTCAAGCTGTAGACCTCGGCATCCGGATATGTCAAAGAGCAGTAGAATGACCAGTCATCATTACCCAGTCCATCAATCACGAGGATCCTGCCATGTGCACCGGACTTGACATGATTGTGCGCGGGACTGAAAAGAACCCGCCCAAATGATAGCCACCGACTGGTCATGAGGGATGCAGATCGCATGTTGGTACTGGTGACTACATCCCACTCACGCTCAGAACATCCTAGAAATTCTTTGAGCTCATTGGGTTTGGGCTTCGGTGCGGGTGTGGCAGCAAGAGACTGGAGGAATTCAGACTGTTGCTCCTGAACAGGGTCCAGCAAAGGTTGTGTCGGATTGGCAGGGCTGTACATGACCTCCGGATCACCATAGCTAGCGATCAGATTGCTATAAGATGCCTGTGTCGACGGTGCAATAGAGGAATGCAAAGCCGAGACTATCCTTGACCGGCGCAGATGAACAGAATCGCCACTATCACGATACGAAGCACCGGCCGGCGAAAATGGTGGCGGCTGAAGGGAATTGTCACTGTTCAGCTCATCCTGCAACACCTTACTGGCCATTGTCGCCATCTCAAATCTTTCATCCTCTTCAGTCTTGCCAGTATCCTCAGGCTTTCGCTCTTCCGGGGAGAGAACGTCAATGAGATCGTCATATTCGTTCCATACTTCATCCTCAGTTGGTGCAGTACCAGGTTTAGGTACCACAGCTGTGACGGCCGCCAAGGCGCCCGGGCTACCTGATGAGGGAGAACCCCTGTTAGGAGAGAAATGGATGAGCTCGCTCCCTAAATAGGGGCCGGCAAGGAACTCCAAAGCGCTCGCTGCCTCTGGGGCACTGAAAGCTGGGTTGAAACCGTAACCCCAATCTCCTGGCTTACTGCTGGAGACATCGGCCAAAGGAATTTCACCAAGCCCAGGGAAATGACTTGCCCCCTCCAGTGTTGGTGCCATCAGCACTGGTGACTCAGAGGTACTGAATGGCCGCGAGAAGGAATGCATAGCTGGTATATGGTGTCTATCGCGTCTCGATACCACTTTCGGAATTCGACCCACGGAAGCCAGCCGTCTCGGGCGGCGATCTTCAGGGCTGCTATCAGGATCCGTACCCATCATATTCTGATTGAACATAGCAGTTCTTGGCGACGGTCTATTTTCTCTCTCGAACTCGCCGTGCAGTTTAGGGGGCGATGGTAATAGGATGGAGGGGTGTCGCTTCCTGATGTTCAGGCTCGCAGGTACCTCGACTAGCGCAATGTACGGCTCTTCTTCTGTCGGCGGCGAATCTTCTATGTGGTCGAGGATATCGTCGAGCTCGTCTGAGTCGGCATCCACAAGGGCGTAGTGAGCGACGGGACGACTATTGAGCACCGGAGAGATTGCAGCATGAAGTTGTGCCGTATGAGAGGAGGGAGCGAGGGAAGCCGGTGGAGTGGTGCTTGGTTCATTGGCACGGCTTCTCTGGAACAAATTCCATCTTGACGGTTTCCCTTTCTTCGGCTGTGGCAGTTCGAGCTTTGGGGGTTCCTCCTGTCTGGTAGTCGCAACCAGTGTAGGTTTCGGTTTCTGCATGACGACAGTGCTTGAGGTATTGCTGGAAAACGATGTAGTTGTTGCTGCTGCATCTGGATTGGCATAGAATCCAGCTTTCTTGCCCTTGGGAACTGGCATGCGAGACTTTAGTTGTTGACGAACGGCAGGTGTCCGGTGCTTTTCTGGGCTTATACTCCTGCTGGGTCCGAGGCTTTTTGTCGAATCATTGGAAGGTGCCGCATCACCAAAGGTACCAGTAGAAGTAGCCAATGACTCGGTCGATTGAACAGTAGAAGATGTGAGGGGTGTCGCGCGTGGCAGGTTTGAAGACGTCACACTCATACTGCTGATGCTCTGTTCACTCACGGTTCGCGAGAGGGTCGCACCATCCATGCCTCCGCCGCTGATGAAAACCGGCTCAAGACGACTTGCGAGGAAATCATCTAAGTCGAGGTCCGGACGGCTAGACGACATACTCCCCTTGCTGCTTGAGACGGAACGGGATGTGCTTCGTGTCGTACTCGTCGAACGGGTCCTGATACCGCTGGCACTACTGGCACTTGGTTTCCTACCGCGCTGGGAATACTTTCCATATCCTTCATGGCCAGTTCCTGCAGCCGGTCCTTTTCTCGTGGGTCGAGTCTGATCATCAGAGGTAGCATCAAGGTCCGGCTTTGACTTCTTCGAGAATAGACCAAATTTCTTTTGCGCTGCAGGTTTCTTTGGGTCGAGTTTCTCCTTTCGTGGCTCCTTGGTCAAGGTTTTGGGTGATTTCCGAGCTAACACTGGAGATCCGGCCTCTCGAGAGGGAATTCGAGACAGGTCCTTGGATGATAAAGAGTCTGTTGAAGCCATAACAGACGGAAGTTGGGTAGTGTGGTTCCTTTCCATAGATTCGCGTCGCTTATGACCAGTCGACCGTAGATAAGGTAGGTTGCTTTGAATAATTGGGGAAGTCTCCAGATCTAAACGATGGGTGCCTTCTCGACTTGGCCGTGGTGGTGTTTGTGGAACTTTGGGTACGCCTATCTCAGGAACTGATGGCGCCCTTGGTCTCTGCGTATTGAAAAGCTCGCGCTCTGCCTCTTCAACTTCCTTTCTGGCCTGATCAACGTCTATATCAGGGTTCTTGGAAGGAGCGTCTCTGGGTGGACTAAAATTGACGGATGACTTCCTCAGCGGGGGACTATGCGGAGGGCCTCGAAGTTTTCCAGGGGTGGATTTCACATTGGCTTGACTTTTGCCCGTTGTATCCGTAGCGGATCCAATGGCCGGTAATTTCCTCGGGAGACCCGAACTTGAAAGCTTTAGATCAACTGGTGCAGCCTGGGCACTCTGAGGGCTTGCATGCGCTGGTTGTGGGGAGAACACAGGAAGTCGGGTCTGGGACGGGCTTGGCTGTCTCATGCGTGAAGTCTTGGACGAGTGCATAATTCCCGGCGAGTAGGAAGATAATGATGTTGGGGTCGAGCCCCGGCTCCACATGCCAGGAGACTCGGAGTAACGAGTAGACGGCGTACTCGCAGAGGGATAGTAAGGAACGGGAGGCGGTGGTAAGTTCTGAGTGTTGACAGTAGTACGAAGACTAGCCAATTCTATCGGCTCCTGGGTTCTTGCAGTGCCCACTGCACTATTCTCCAACTTATCTGACGTACTTTGGGATGGAGGTTCCGCGGAATATGTGTCTGGCAGTCTAGGCAGTCTAGGCTCCCTCGCGTCGGCCGGCTGAAGTGTTGGGGGAATGACCAAACTAAGCTTCTGAGATTGGGTCTGTTCCACATGTTTTCCTATTGTCGGTGCCCTTCTGCGAAGAACATTGCGTGTTCGTTTAGGTGGGTTGGCTGGTGGAGCTTGATAGCTTTGTGCAAATGGAGAAGGGGTCGTTAGATCAGAGGCGGAGAGAGATGAAGGAATCGATGAAGCCGGGGTGTGAGGCGATACAGTCGATGCAGGCGACTGGGATGATCCTGTACCACCAGTACTTGGACGTGGTAACAGTGACAACCGATTCGTAAGATTCGATACCTGATAGGTTACCGTTGGCAAAGCTGTGATTGAACGGGAATCTTCCGCAGCTGATAGAGAAGATGCGCGGCTGGTTCTTGTTGAATAGTTGATTGGCCTTGCGAGTTGGGACCGAGGAAGCCGTGGGGAAGAGGTGGAGATTGAGTCGGTTGGCCCTGGATGTGATGCAGGTGCAGGAAGGAAAGGATCATTCGACGGCATACGACGGCCACCCATATTGTACGACGACATGGTGCGACACTGTCAGGAGTCTCCGGTTCCAATCTTGAGACTGTGATCTGAGGAATGAGCTCATGCAATCCAGAATTTGAGTCATCACGGGCATATGCCAGGTGTGTAGAAAGTCACGGCGCTAAGATGATACCTGGTTTTATGAGTTTCAACCGACCAACGGATAAAACAGGACATAGTTGAACATACAGCATTCAACACATTACATTTGACGAATGGTCTCCAGGACACGAGCTTTGGAAGTATTAATAGATGTAAAGTGGAGACAGAACAAGGTGTAAAAGAAAGGGTTGAAGTAGTGGACGTCCAGGGTATCGCAGAACACGTGCAACGTCGAACTATAGGATCAAACGACAAAGATTAATCAAGATTATTTGCAAGAGGTCATTAAACATAAGACATAGAACCACCAGAAAAAACCAGCAGACGTCAGGTAGATAAAAAAGATGGAAACTCACCAACTTTAGCAGGCCGATCGACCATGCCAGGAGCTGCAGCTGCTTCGCCACAGTCCGGAGCAGTTATGGCACCGAAATCTCAGGATTTCCCACTAGTCTCGGCCACGTCAGAGGTAAGCGATCCACACGAGCCTAAATCAGGCAGAGAGAAAGAAAAAAAAGAGAGAATGGAATGAAAAGGTTGAGGATATCGAAAGTTGTAGTCAAAAATTGAGTGAAAAGGGTCAGAAATTCCTGTAGAAACCGCAAAATGGACGTTTTGTACGTGCTGACTCGGATTTCCCCTCCCCCTCGAAGTGGGGGTTGTCAAGACTGGAAAGAACCGCCCTCTAGTCTGCCCTGGCCATATAAAATGCACAGTGGCCTTCTAGGGTTGTGCGATTGACGGCAGTTCCGGTCGTAGACAGGAGAAGACCCATATCTGCACGGTAATTGGGCACAAGAAATTGTGACTACGGCTGTGACGAGTCGAGACTGCGTGGGCGTTAGGGCCCTGTGAACGGAAGTTGAAGCAACGGCCCCAAACCGCGTCCTCTCCAAAGTTAATATTTTTTAATCCTATCACGATGGGGGACTATCGTTCTATGGACGGAGCACCGCGAAAAATCTAGTGAGCCCAGTGAAGACCAGCATTCGCGCACGGAGACCCGCATGGAGGGGAACTGGATCCAACCTATTCGAGACTGACATTTTCCCCCGGATACGAGTCGCTATCGTTGGTCAGAACCCCGTCGACGGATCGGAAGGCTATCAGCGGCGTTTGCCTGGGTAGACCAAATCACCTGAGTCGCTAGGCGATGAGACTGGCCAGGATCAGTGGACACTGGGACTAGACCGCGGGACACAGCATGCCAGGATGCATTTTCGCGAGTGGCGTGCAATGGGCGGCCCATCTCTCCGCCTATCGACCATCTCTTCAGCAACTGCCGTACAATAACGCCCACAATTCGCACCCTATCTACTGGTTGATACCAGCGATGGATCAGCTAGTCAATCAAGCTGAAAGATTGCATTCTTCTTCGCAATTATGCTGCCAGGAACCAGTAGTTCCGCGTTTACGTCTGCCTCGCCTCGTTGACAACTCATCGATCGGGGACGCCGACCCCGATCTGACTGCACCGTCGATCCTCCCCCCAAAGCATGGTTGGGTCTTTGCTTTTTTGGGGCTCCCGGGCTTTCTTGGGTTTGTTTGGTTGTCTACTGCAGCCATGGAATCGAAGGTGAACGTGCGAGGCTTGGGGCGTTCCTTCTCAGAGCTCGGAGAATTAACCAACGTGCCCTTCTGAAGGGCCTGTGCAAGCCAAGGCCTGTGCAAGTCGTCATAGATCATTATGGAAACCTCCTCGCCGGTTTGAATTCAGCTGTCACCAATTTCCACCGGGGCACTCTGTGCTCTTCTGGCGGATTGTAGAACTGTAGGTTGCAGTTCGCCTGTCCTTGCAGCAGATATGACAGACCCATAAAGCCGTTTGGATGAAGTCTGGGACAACAAGGGCCGTCCCGAGCCTTGCGTTGAACCAGCTTTCAACCAGAGTGACCCTCAAAATCTCCGAGAATCTGACTCAGGACACAGGGCCGATCGCCCCCAAAATGCCAGGGTGGGGTCCAGGCTCTTTCCTGGAAGAGTAAATTCACATCTTTGGTTGGACTGGTATCAATCGACCAGCCAGTAACCATTCTCAAAGCCCTCGAGGAAGCAACATCTAGTGTATAACCTCATCTCCAAATCCGTGGTTGACCCCCGTTTGGGACCGCTGCAGCAGGGTTAGGTCCGTTCATGGGGCTGCTCCACTCGACGTCCCCATCAATAAAGGCGTTCGAGACAATCATTGACCTCTTTGCCGCCTTGACTGGAGTTATTTCATGAAAGCCACACTCTAAAAACAGCAGCTTGCACCTGGGATTCGCTAGAGATGCCTCGATCCAAGTGGGTCCTGGCGGTAAAACGGCGTGATGGCCGAGCCCATTGGCGAATGAGGCCAGAGTCTGGGTGTCGCACTTGGGAGCGGCTCGTCTTCCCCGGTGCGACAAAAGCCATGTCGTGGGATCCTGATCGTGTCCAAGACTCGCATTAACCAGTCCTTTTTCCAGGACGTGTGGGTTCGTCGATCCCCGTATGAGAGGCGCCGATCTGGAGGGGCCAGCTCGGTTGGCAGCCCCGTTCTGAAGCCAGACTGGCCAGCGCGGGTGATGCAGGAACGAGAGGCTAATGCACAGTTCAGCTGACTGCACTCGAGGGAGCTGCTCCCGTCGGCTCTTTGCACATATACAGAAAGTGCTGCGAATTTTTCAGATGTTGTTGATGATTATAGATTGGAATAGGAATGGATTCCCTCGCTATTTGAAACCAATATGGATCTTACTCCAATGGCCTATATAATCCACTTTTTATCAATCTGATGAAGCATACTCTACCGATCTTGACACACGGGCTTTTTAGCATATCATCGTGTTAGTACTACAAAAACCAAAAAAAAGGCTTTTCTGATTTGAACGGTTGTCCCTCAAATTCCTAAATATCGTATCGTCACAAACGCCCTGTGAAAGACCAGAATATGTAAAACACAAAAAGAAAATCCCCGAATGGGTCCAAGAAGTCGAGTAGCGACAGAAGGGAATGAAATAGATCTAATTGGCGGCCGCAAAACGCTTCTTGCGAGCTTCCATCGCTAGACGGTCCTTATCGCCCCAGCTTCTCTGCTGCGTGTTCTGTCCACTCTCCGCACTCTTCCCGCCGTTCTCGTTCTGTCCACCGGTATTCCGGTTCTGGTTGCCATCTCCACGGCGGTTGCGGTTACGGCCAACATCCCGTCGTTTGCCTCCGCGACCACCCTGCTCATTGCGGCCGCGCTTGCGAGCGCGTTCATTGGGAAGAGCCTCGTCGAGACCCTTCACGCTAACACTAGAGCCAGGCTCGGCCGCAGCACCGGTGCCAAAGCGCTTTGCCCGATCCAATTGCTTTTGAGCCTCCTTGAGGGCAGTCTCATCATCTTCAACGATGCCAAACTTCTCAGCGCGCTTCTTGCGCTTCGCCAATTCTGCCTCCAGGTCGGTTGCTGCAAGACCACGAGTGTAATCCACAGCAGGCTTCTTCTCGGCCTCGGGCGCAGTCTCAGCTTCGGGTGCAGCCGCAGTATCGGCACCACCTGCCGATTCCACCTTCAAGTCGTTGGTCGTAGCAGGGTCGATGGCGAGCTCTTGGTTCGGGACGGCAACGGGGTTGGCCACCGGGCCCTTGCCGCCAGCAGCAATGGCAGTCGCGGAAGCCTCCGTAGAAGGTTGGGCGGTCTCAGCGGGAACATCATCGTCCCAGTCAATGACATCGTCGGCGGCAGCGTCGGGCTTAGTGGTCTCGGTAGCAGCGGGAGCGGCAGCTGGAGCTGGAGCAGCTTCCGCGGACTTGGTCTCGTCGTCCTGCTGGATGCGCGCGACCAGATCGGCCTTCTTGCCAGTGTGGGGAAGCGATCGTGATTTCAAGATCTCGACCAGCTCGGCATTGGTCTTCTTGCTATAGTCGGTCGCCATTTTGTTGGTGGTGGTCGGGAATTGAGGGTGTGCGGTATGTGGTGAGGTTGGGTGACGCGCGGAGGGAACGAGCGGTCACTTTAGAAGTTGAGAAGGGGAATTTGAGATTCACAGTTGACTAGCATTCATAGCGCGACAATTTCGCAGGCAGAAATGGATAGAATTGCAGATGGTGCCTTGGCTTGTAACGAGGACGCGCCCCGGAGGCAGTGTCGCGTTGGTCATGATGGCGATCACGTGATATTAATGACGGGTTGTTGATACCTGAGGCATCAGTAGAGCTCAGGTCTCTACCATATAATCTAAAAATGTACGGTACCAGTACCGCGGTTGGAGATCTAAGAATTAGCTGTTTCCAGCTATGTTCAGAATTTGACTACTCAGTCTGTTCTTCAGTAGCCATGTAGACTTTGACTGTACGACGGAAATAAACTAGCAGAGCCGTACCTACACAACAAACATACACATCGGGAACTCCGAGTGGTGAACTTGGTTATTCGTAAAGACCTCCAATCCCTTGCTACCCTAGACAGCAGGTGCCAGCAAAGCAAACGTCTCTCAGACCCGGCTCATATGTCATAATACATTTGTATTATTAAGAATCAAGTCTGCGTGTGTAGCCGCCACTGACAGCACAAGATTTTCCGATCAACGCCACATGGGCGGGACATGACCCCGACAATAAGCTGAAGCTTGGGCCCAACGAAAAGAATTGTCGGGTTCCTGGTACACTTTTGAGTCATAATTGACTATGGTTTGACCAGGTATAGCTGAAAAAAAAATTTTGCTGGCATCTAGGTGGAAAGTGGAAGATGCTGCACGCACTGCGCCACATTGGGCTTGCTCTAGTTTGCGCCACTTATTATTGCCTGAGGCAGATATTCTTAATGACGAGAATCAGTTAATGAAGACCTGAGGTCTTCGCAAAACAGAGTTCTAGGTGACAGAACAGATCAGGATACATAATAAGCTTCTGCTTTCATGACTGGGTATACTTTACATTCTTGAATTTGTTGATTGTGAAAGCGTCTACAGAGCCCAGTTCGATCGGGGCATCAACTAGCTAGCTTCAAGATCTGAACCAGACATGTTCCGATATAATTTTTTCAAAAGACCTTGCTACAATGAATCTTGGATTATTTAAATTGACAGCTCAGGATACATGTGACTGAACAAATGCGTTTGAAGATCTGTCGACGTTTCAAACTTCCATGAACCTCGCTGTATACTAAGATTCGCAAAACAGGCCCAAATTTCAGGTATAATTGGGCCATCATGGCATATAAAGAAGTTAAATCAGTATAGAAGCAAACAATCGATCTCGTGTCCCGATTTGTCTTATCCATAGAACCAGTATTCTGCGGCGTAGTCAACTAGGATAGTGTCGTTCTGCCCAGCACAAGTGGACGGAGGGGAGCCCTCAAAAGTCATCACTCGATATACCTCCTAAGATGATGTCAGGAGGCTGCTGGACATGTAAGGATATTTAGCGACTCTTGGATGCTTACCTTGATATCATGGCCATCCGTGGAGCTAAGCTTCAGCCAAGCCACATCTTCATCCCCGTTATCGCCAGCTATGTGGCTCACTCTCTTCGGTGCCGTCACTGACGCATCTTTCTTAGAAACCATCCAAGCATTGGATCCACTCAGAGTAAGACTGAAGAAAGGATCTCCAGCAGCGTTGAAGTAGTGTTCACCAATGACCAGATCCGAGCTGTTCGTTGTATGGGTCAACAACTCCGCCAACAGGGCCAAGGACCCCAAAGGAGTACGCCCAATGAAAACGGGCATTTCATGAAGAAGAGTAAGTGATTTCGATGCAATGCAGGAAGCATCGAAAAGTGTGGCTACTGCTCCGGTTGCAGTAGGCTTGCTCGTCTTGCGGGAGTTGTGGGAGCTGCTCGAGGATGGACACGAGTAATTCTGAGTTCCACGTCCCAGAACAATGTATTTGAGATTCATATTTGACGATGGATTTGGGAGTTTGACTTTGGTATCATTCAGGGGGAGGTTGGCATTTGCTAGATTGCAGTTTCCCAGACTCATGTGGTCAAGTTCATCGGAGATTCTTGAGAACGTGGCAGCAAGTCTTAGTGGGCCTGGAAGGACCGAAGTTGCATCGACCAGCATTACAGCCATCAATAGAGCTAAGGCAAAAAGATTTTGCATGATGATAAAGCTGGCTTTGGTAGTCTGAAAAGACGATGATTCGAGGATAAGGCCTTGGCCAAGGAGGAGTTTGCAAAGTGATATGTGAATAAAGGTGAAGAGATGGTGGTTGTCAGGTACAACCAGAGCCAGTAGCGGATTTCTTGTTTAATAAGTGAGACGATCGGTGCTGTTGCCTTAAGTCAGGACAAAAAAAGGTTTCCTAGTGGAAAGAGGCTACCGTGGAACCAAGTCGCAAGGCGTACTTCAAATCCAACATATACCAACATACCAACAGTTCCTATGGTCTATCGTTGCTCAGAGGACCCCTATGAGCCTTAAACCAGATAAAGCTCGACAAGCACCGGGTTTAGATATATGTCAGTCGTGCTTTTGCATTGATGTGGTACCTATCTAGCCAGTGAAATATCATTAGAAGAACCAAAATCTTTGTTGGCACCCTTGCTCCAAGGATCTAGCTATGGGAAGCACGGAGCTCACGAGCAAAGAGAAATTCTTCGTGTGAACATTACTAGGAGCCAATGTAAAGCCTGGGCTATGTTACATCTCCGTCCTAGTGCCGGCGGCTACTATGATATGTAGAACTTTACTGGTATTTATAGCCAAGGGTCCACAAATCAGGGTCCATAAACCATCTAAACATTCAAAAAGCAATTAGTATCATTGTTGTACGAATGACCCTCTCCATTGAAACCCAGACTTCGTTCAAGAAGACTCTCTCCCGACTATCATTACTGTACAACCAATAGATCTTGCTGGCAATTTGGTATGCTCCATGGTATCGGTCAAGTCAAGTCTAGGAAGACACACATGATCATTTCAGTAAGGTTAGAATGTTGCACTTCTGATACTATTTGTGTGTGACATAAATAGACTCTAAGCGCCCTTGTGGCACCCAGGTCCACTCGTGAGATACCTTCGTTTCCCCACTGCTCAATCCCTCTTTCTACAACCATGACTGACGTGGGACCAAGTAAGCCCCCTGAATTCCAGATCATTCAATAGCAACCGGATTAGTGAGCTCTTATCTGTCCTTCTAATCAACTCAATGGCTGGCGTTCGGTAGCTGGATCCAGAAAAAGTATCACGTGATGACCTAGTCATCCCGCTAGCGCGACTTCGTTGGCGTCGTGCATTTTGCACTCATCGCAGGACCTCAGCGCGACAGCTATTCCATCATCGATGCTACCGTTCCAACGGTACCTGATCCGAATGTAGCTACTGCTACCGATTTTGTGCGATTATACAGTCATTCTGGACCTGACATCTCACCACTACCATGTCTGACGGTATGTGTTCTCCGACTCCTCTCACTGACCAGATGCTGATCACTCCTGCAGCCGATATCGAAGCTGTCCGGCGGCTCCAAGCCGAGCGCAATGCCGCTGCCGCTACTAAAAAAGGTTCTAGGACCTTTGACTCATCTAGTCAGCGCACTGACAACTCGACCAAGGCCTCCCTGACTGAATCCTTCGACACGACTTTGTACGATCGGAACGGGCCTGACAAGTTCGCTGGCTACGATACATCGATTGCAGTGAATGGCGACGATGATGAAGATATGGAAGATGCGAATGGCGGTCATCGCTTGGTCGGCCAGTACACCGCCACCAGAAGCCAGATCGATGAGATGGCGCATGGAAACGGGGTGGAGGAAGAGGACATCTTGCTAGGCCGCGAGAAGGCTGCTCGTATCTCTGATCGGGAATCTGACTACCAGAAGCGCCGATTCAACCGCGGTCCTCTCACACCCACGCGCGCCGACGCCTTCGCTGCCAACACCGACGCGAACATGGGGGAGGGAGATGGCCAGACCTACCGAGAAGTCATGGCCCTTCGTGAACTTGAGAAAGAAGAGGAGCGTGTTAAGAAGCTGATTGCCGAGAAGCGAGAGCAAGGCGAAGACGTTGCGGTTCCGGAACACCACGCCACACTGAAGATCGCGGAAGGTGACCAGGAGATGGCCGATACTGGTGCTCCCGCTGAAGCAGCCAGCAGGAAGCGAAAGAAGCGTTGGGACATCGGCGCAGACGAAAATGGAACCTCTGAGGAGGCCAAGCCCGCAGAAACGAAGACAAAGCGATCTCGATGGGATGAAACACCCGCCCCAGAAGCTTCCGAGGAGCCCAAGCGCCGATCGAGATGGGATCTAGCCCCTGCGGCCACTCCCGTCGGCAACCAAGGTCTTGCCACGCCTATGCACCCGTCTCAAGGAGGTGTGGTCGGGGCACCTGGTTTCGGGACTGATGTTGCTGTCCGACCTGGAGATTGGACTGATGAGGAACTTGATATGATGCTGCCCACCGAAGGCTATAAGATCTTGGAGCCTCCCCCAGGATATGCCCCGATCCGAAACCCTGCACGCAAAATGATGGCGACCCCAGCGCCTTTGGCTGGGGCAGCCGGTGTTGGTGGATTCATGATGCAAGAACCTGAGAGCGTCCGGTCTATGGGCAAGGAGCTTCCAACCGATATCCCTGGTGTTGGCGATTTGCAGTTCTTCAAGCCGGAGGATATGGCCTACTTTGGAAAGCTCATGGAGGCTGGAGACGAAAGTACCATGACGGTCGAGGAAATGAAAGAGCGCAAGATTATGAGGTTGCTACTCAAAGTCAAGAACGGCACACCTCCTATGCGAAAGACAGCGTTGCGCCAGCTGACGGACAATGCGCGGAACTTTGGAGCTGGTGCGCTTTTCAACCAGATTCTTCCTTTGCTCATGGAGAAGTCTCTGGAGGACCAAGAACGTCACTTGCTAGTCAAGGTCATTGATCGGGTCCTCTACAAGCTAGACGACTTGGTTCGTCCTTACGTCCACAAAATTTTGGTCGTTATTGAGCCATTGCTCATTGACCAAGACTACTATGCCCGTGTTGAGGGTCGGGAAATTATCTCCAACCTGTCCAAGGCTGCTGGTCTCGCCACCATGATCAGTACTATGCGTCCCGATATCGATCACGTCGACGAGTATGTACGAAACACCACAGCGCGAGCATTCGCGGTCGTTGCGTCTGCCCTGGGTATCCCAGCCCTTCTCCCCTTCCTCCGCGCCGTCTGCCGCAGTAAGAAGTCCTGGCAGGCTCGTCACACCGGTGTGAAGATTGTTCAACAAATTCCGATTCTGATGGGTTGCGCCATTCTTCCCCATCTCAAGGGTCTTGTCGACTGCATTGCAGACAACCTTAGCGATGAACAGGCCAAGGTTCGAACTGTCACTGCTTTGGCCGTGGCTGCTTTGGCCGAAGCTGCCAACCCCTACGGTATCGAAAGCTTTGATGAAATCCTGAACCCTCTCTGGACCGGTGCCCGCAAGCAACGTGGCAAGGGTCTTGCCGCCTTCCTGAAGGCCGTTGGCTACATCATTCCACTAATGGACGAAGAGTATGCCAACTATTACACCAGTCAAATCATGGAGATTCTTCTTCGAGAGTTCTCGTCCCCGGATGAGGAAATGAAGAAGGTGGTACTAAAGGTGGTCTCCCAGTGCTCTAGCACGGATGGTGTTACTGCCAACTATCTCAAGGAACATGTCTTGACCGATTTCTTCAAGAGCTTCTGGGTCCGGCGTATGGCATTGGATCGACGAAACTACCGCCAGGTCGTCGACACGACGGTTGATCTCGGTCAGAAAGTCGGCGTTGGCGAGATCCTTGAGCGCATTGTCAACAACCTGAAAGACGAGAGTGAGCCGTACCGCAAAATGACCGTGGAAACCATCGAGAAGCTGGTTGCCTCTCTCGGGGCTGCCGATATTTCGGAGCGGTTGGAGGAACGACTTATTGACGGTGTACTGTTTGCTTTCCAGGAACAGAGCATTGAGGACATCGTCATCCTGAATGGCTTCGGTACTGTGGTAAATGCCCTCAGCACTCGATGCAAGCCATACCTCCCCCAGATCGTCTCTACTATTCTTTGGCGGCTGAACAACAAGTCCGCCACCGTTCGTCAGCAGGCGGCGGATCTAATCTCTCGCATTGCGATGGTTATGAAGCAATGTGGCGAGGACGCTCTCATGGGCAAGCTGGGTATCGTACTTTACGAATACTTGGGTGAAGAATATCCCGAAGTGTTGGGTTCGATCTTGGGAGCTCTGCGGTCTATTGTTACCGTGGTCGGTATCAACCAAATGCAGCCGCCTATTCGCGATCTTCTGCCCCGTCTCACACCTATCCTGCGTAACCGTCACGAGAAGGTGCAGGAGAACACCATCGACCTTGTCGGCCGTATTGCAGACCGTGGCCCCGAGTCGGTCAATGCCCGCGAATGGATGCGTATCTGTTTCGAGCTGCTTGATATGCTCAAGGCTCACAAGAAGGGCATTCGTCGTGCGGCCAACAACACATTCGGTTTCATTGCCAAGGCCATCGGTCCTCAGGATGTCCTGGCCACCCTCTTGAACAACTTGCGTGTACAGGAACGTCAGTCTCGTGTTTGTACAGCTGTCGCAATTGGTATCGTTGCTGAAACTTGTGCTCCTTTCACTGTGCTGCCGGCCTTGATGAACGAGTACCGCGTTCCAGAGCTCAACGTGCAGAACGGTGTTCTCAAGGCCATGTCTTTCCTGTTCGAATATATTGGTGAGATGGCCAAGGATTATGTTTACGCTGTCACTCCCCTGCTCGAAGATGCCCTCATCGACCGTGACCAGGTTCACCGGCAGACTGCAGCCAGCGTAGTTAAGCACATTGCGCTCGGCGTGGTTGGTCTGGGCTGTGAGGATGCCATGGTCCATCTCCTTAACCTGGTGTTCCCCAACATCTTCGAAACTAGCCCTCACGTCATTGATCGGATCATCGAAGCCATCGACGCTATCCGGATGGCCGTTGGGACGGGCACTGTCATGAACTACGTCTGGGCAGGCTTGTTCCACCCAGCTCGGAAGGTGCGCACGCCTTACTGGCGCCTCTACAATGACGCCTATGTGCAGGGTGCGGATGCGATGGTACCTTACTATCCGGATTTGAAGGCCGATGGGCTGGACCGTTCAGAGCTTGATATCATCGTTTAAAGACATGCTCTGACGATGATTGTGTAATTTGGACTCTCGATCTGCTTTCATTCTCTCCATGCATAAGTATTTGACTCTTTTGGGACGACCATTCTGTGTTTTTACAAGCCGGCGTCATTTTTTCTTTCCCACTTTGTTCTTCGTTCCATTGTTCATGCAGGGACGAGCGGACGTTCGGCGCGGTTACTGTACATCAAGATTTCAAAAGTCGCTAGGTACTAGGGAATTTTATTTCATACAAAAATAGTTCTGGATCATCAATCACACAGCAAAACGATTTAGTATCAAGTAATCCATCTCGAAACGGAGGTCATCCGCCACAAAGACTTAATGTCTCACCCCGAGT